TTTTCGTTTCTGAAGTGAAAATCTTTTTTCGCTTTAATTTTCTCGTATCTCTCGTTATCTCTCCATTCGCTACGCGCTATCAGTTGTCACTAAAAATGTTTTGCTAAATAAATGTTGAGATTATATACAGGTACATTTTTTGGCCAACTCTACCGGTGAGAGTCAATTATTTTTTGCGCGTATATATGTCGTGCAATCGTACTCACAGGGGCACCGGGATGGGCACACAGGGCTTTTGCTACATAATTAATGCTTTTTAATTATAAAATTGCTAAAAACTGTTTTTTTCAGTTCAGAGTTTGGTTCAGAAACCTTTCGATACATTCGCAGACTTTATGGTGATTTTGAAAAAGTCTGAAATTAGACACTACTTTCAAACTCCAATTCCCGGCCAAACCCAGTGTTTTGTCAGTGAAATACCGTCCCTCGCATATCCATGTAATTAGTTTTCTATCCATTAATACGGTAATAATGTTAAGCGAATATAAAACCGAAAACCATTAAACACTTTAACAAAATTAAAGGTTTCCAATGATTAACAGCAAAATTAAATTTTAAATGATTTTAAAAACTTTTTTCTTGGAATTGAATTTCGAAATAAATTTTCCTTTTATTATGTTTTCTTGTGATGTGTTTTTCGCTTTTTTGTAATCAAAAGTCACATTTAAATGTAAATTCCGCTACAAATCACAAGATGTTTCCAGTTTTGTGTAAATAGCTTTTTTTATTTGAAAATTTCGTTTTATTTTATTTCATTAATTCAATTAATTTTATTCATTTTTCTCTCTAACACTTGCAATGTTGTATAATACAGTATTGTGGGTAAAAGTTTAGAGAATCACGAATTTTAACACCAAAAACACAACTTTCAAATCAAAATTTGTGTTTTTAACTCGTAAACAATAAAACTAATGTTAATAATATTTATATGCTAGTTAAAATACAGAAACGCATATACGAAATTAAAAACTTAGCAAAACATTAAATTTTTAACCATTTCATTACATTTTCAGCATCGAAAAACACTTTTTAACATAAAATGTATAAAATTGTTTAATAAAATGAATTTCGCATAAATTTTTGTTCACATTGTCATAATTTTCTGAGCCGTTTATTTTACATTTAAATAAAATTTTATCAGAAAGTTAAGAGAGAGAGAGAGAGAGAGAGAGAGAGAGAGAGAGCAGGCAATAATTACTCTTTTTTTAAGTAAAGGCAAAAAAGCATTTCAAATGTTTTACTGTGAAACACTTTTTTCTGTTCGTCTTTCACTCCAAAAAGTTTTATATTATTATTATATAAAGTATTAGTAAAAATATATATTAATGAATAATTATTCCATTAATATTGAACAATAATTAATTTGCAAATCCTTTTTTCTCTCCCCTATATTTCTACCACTTATCTCTATAAGTAGCTCATGAGAGAGAGAGAGAGAGAGAGAGAGAGAGAGAGAGAGATTCTGATAGAGATCTACAGTTTTTAAAAATAAATAATAAGGGGGAGAGAGAAATGCATTTATAAAAACAGTCAAAAGTATTTTTTGATATGTTTTGATAAGAGATATATACATATAATTTATTTAAATTTTTTTTGTTTTCAATCTCTGTATAGGTAGTTATAAATTATTTACTGTTTTGTTTGATTTTATTCTTTCAATTTATTGATAAAACAAAAAGATCACGAATTTTACAGGAGTTTTTCCCGCATATAAAGGTGACATACATGGTTTTATACACGTATTTTCAACGATTGGAATATTATGGTAATTCATCAGTAGTTGGATAGATAAGTAGTTATTTCTTAAGTGATTCCCACTTTACATACGGCACCGGTATATCTGTATACTATTGATTGATAAACCTGTAATAAATAAATTACGATGGGTCATGCTGGGCAATTTATCATAAGCAGTGTATATATCCGCCGAAAACAATGTGACCTTGCTCGGCGTAAATCATAGACTACCGATTCGTATAAATAACTCATTTCGCATACCATATACCATGAGTATAAACTTCAGATGATTTTGAAAATACTATAAACAAATGGAAATCCACAATATTCTAGTAATTCAATGGTGGGTATAAAGGGTTTGCTTATTATTAATGAGTGGATCCAATACTCTATGTATATTCATAATACCAATTGGGGTCTTGTGCTACATTATAGCCAAAATATAAACACATATATTTGGAAACATAGGGTACACACTATCGCGGAATGAAAACCAAGAAAACACAAATTAGAAATATATACATTTTTTACTGTTATATAATTATTTTATTTATGTTCATCCCCCATTAATTTTTGCCCGTTAACAGGGCTAACAATTTTTGTTTGCGCGGGGGTATCATTTGTCTTAAACTCAGATAAAGTGCCGTCAAACTGTATGTGTGAGAGAGATATAGTTCACCAAATATATCAACGCAAGAATTTCGATAAAAATTATTGCTTTAATTTTTAATTTTATTTTTTTCTCGCTTAGTCTCTGCCATAAGTTATGATATAGTTTTGTTTGCCACATATTTTTTCGCCCATTTATTATTTTCATTCATTCATTCAGTTGTTTAAGTTGTTTCGCTTGCGATAACAACTCTTTTTTCTCGCAGCAAAAATGCAAAGCTTTTTTTGAGTACACAATAGTATATTAATAATAATGAATATGTGTTTTGTGTTTATTTATTTATTACATGAGATATTATATAAGCTTTTTGTCTCACACTTCCTATTCATTTGATTAAATATGTGTATATTTTTTGTTTTCTATTTCTTTCTCGGCTTTATATATGCCTTGAATTAATTGCTTTGCATTAAACACAGATTGGATTGAGAGAGAGAGAGAGAGAGAGAGAGAGAGAGAGACGCCGAGTGTTTTGTGTAATAATAATTTGTTTTAAACTTATTTTTTAATCATAACGACTATACAGTATATTATATTGATATAATTTGGATAATATGCTAATCAAATGATATGTGTTTTAATTACACGCGAGTAGAAAAGGGGATCAATAGGTGAGCCCTGAGTGCGGAGGCCCTGAAAAATATAGTCCACTAATTAGTGGTGTGTTATTATGGGATAAATTTGTTTTTTTTGTGTAACGTTTGCTAGTACATTTTTAATTTCAATTTATCGATAGTAAACTACTAAAAATATAACTAAAAAAACCACATACTGAGTGAGTAAGAGGGCTATGAGGGTTAGGATAATTGTGTGTTTAGCGATAGTTAACGGTAGGGCCTCGGGGGCAATTCTGAAATGATGTATATCTAAATAAGCAATAAAAAAGTTATAATTTTATTTTGTTTGCAGTAAACTATATTTCGGAAATCTATTAGAAAAATCTAATCAATTGATTGCAGTGCCAATAAAAACTTTATATTTTCTCGCATTTTAATATTTGTTTGTTTTTAAACAAAGATTTATTAGTTTTTTTACACAAATATTATACGATTAATACTAAGCCGTGAACAATAAATAATAATAATAATAAAATAAATATACATTAATTAAGGATTAACAGAAGTCTTTCAAATAAATAAAATAAAATAAAATAAATACACATAAAAATTATATACACTTTTGCTTACAATTATAATCGCAATGAAACTATTCGTAAATTTACACTACATAAGGGAGCAGGGTGTTTGTTTCCCATGGGGGTCAAGTAGTGGGTGAGTTCACTCAATACGTACAATAAAAGTCAATAGTTTAAGTATTAAAATAAATATTACAAAAAACGTTTGTCATAATCAAATAAATACCAAATTTATATATAGCTCTTAAAAAGCCATTGACAGACCAAACCCGGGTTAAATATAACAACAAATACAAATAATACCAACAGCACCTGTAGTACAGGGCACCTGTACTCTACCTACCTGTGACCGCACGTATCACCGTTGACTATATCGATAAGAAATTGTTTTTTATGGAAAACAATAATAATAATTAAAAATATGTTTTTATATGCCATTTATTATTCATAAATCTGGTTCAATGAGCTCTTAGAGGGGAAAATGTTTTTTGTAAAAGTTGTTCAAAAGTTTTCAAAAATAATTTTTGCTCCTTTTTTATGCAAAATCCGAGTGAAAGTTACCTTTTTATTAGCAAATAAATAAAATATCGTAAACGCATTCTCGCTGTTATAGAGGTTTTTTGAAAGTATATTTTGTTTTTTAAAATTTTGTTTTGTATTTGTCTCGCATTTTCACTTTAAAACTACGAAAAAGTAATAAAAATTAACGGAAATGTTGTGCGGAATATAGATTTGTGTTTTCAGACATGAATTCACAAGCAAAGTGTTCATAAATTATTAAATATTATTTTATATTTATGAATACTGAGAGAATTTATCCAAATACCATATGTCCAAGAATAATAGTCATTTCATTTTAATATTTATCACAAACATACATTGGTCATTCTTATGGTCAAATATCTTAAATTTATCCCTCTAATAAGAAAAATGTTATTGTCTATACGATTGACAACTAAATGTTTGATTAAAAAATAGATTATTAAATAAATTAAGGTTGAAAATTAGAAATGAAAAACTTATATTAATATAGGACTTTATTAATATTGTCATAATCATCAAATCAGAGCCAAATTGAAAATAATTGATGCAATCATTTACAGATGTTCTCTAATTTTGATAAATAACTTAAAATTAACCACGAGATCAAATAATGAGTAAAATGATATTAAAATATGAATTTGTCATTTTTTAAATCATAAAGTCCTGAGAAAATATCAATCTAATTAAATAATCATAAAAGATATTACTGTATTCATAATCTAATAAATTATTTACACAATTGCAGTGTTTCTCATGTCCTTTACAAATAAATTCAATATAAATAAAACACAAAAACCTATTTTTCCAAATCAGTTTAATCTTAACATTAGAGTCAAAATGTTAAACATAATAAAATATTTAGTACTCATTTATGTAAATAATAATTTATTTGTCAATTGCTATGAACTTCCCAAAGATTGTGGCAAATCTCACGCCAAACCCGAGGACATTGAATCTAATATAATCGGTGGCAGTGATGCGGCACCGGGAGAGTTTCCCTGGCAAATTGTACTGTCCCTGCATTCAAGTCAATTAGACTTTTGCGGGGGTACTATCATAAACGAGAGGTGGGTGCTGACGGCATCCCATTGTGTAATGCAATCCAAAAACATTTCCGATTATCGCATTCGTCTCGGAGTACATAACCGCACAACACATGAGAGCTCTGAATATGATTTCAATGTCGACAAAGTTTGTGACAATTTATTATAAATTAATTACTTAATTGATAATTATAAGTTATAACTATGAATAGGTTATACAATACGATGATCTCATAATCCCTAATGACATCGCCATAATGAAATTGAATGAGAGTTTGGACTTCAAGGGAAAACACAAGCATTTGTCGCCCATATGTCTGCCAAACACGTCCACTAAAGTGACCGACGATTGTATAGCAACTGGTTTTGGTTTAATAGATGAGAGTCAGTATAATTGAATGCTTTATTTGATTAGTAAATCTAAACCTAAATATATTTTGTAATAAAGAGGGGAATAGACCGGAGATTCTGCAGAAAGTGAATGAACCGATCATAGACTCGAGTGTATGTCAAAAGGACTACAGTTTCTTCAACGCGACGGTTGAGGTATGTGCGGGCGGTTCACACAGTGGAGGGAAAGGCATTTGTGATGCAGATTCTGGTGGACCACTTCAATGTAAGGACAGTACTGGAAAGTGGTATCAATTGGGAGTCGTGTCAATGGGTCCAATGCGTTGTGGATCAGCCGATAATCCGGATATAAGGCTTGTGCCATAAGTTTTTCCCCTTTATAAAAATATTAATATTTAGAAAAGTATTTATCGAAACTAAAAACAATTTTATACACAAGTAAACTACAATATATGGAACTAGTTTTTGCGTTTATATAAAGCCATCACTCCATTATCACCTATTATTCTGCCTTTGTTCTTGACATTCCTCATGAGTGCATGGACATGACTTTAAATTACTTTGACATGAATATTACTTATTTTAATCCAGGTTTTACAACATTTATGAGCATTTATAACAACTTTAGACCTATTAGAGTATTCCCATTTGCATTGACTTCAGAAGCTCTCAATGGGCCGGTAGGCCGGGCATAGGGAACGTTAAGCGGATTTTCATTATGGTTCACATAATTGATACCATTTGTTTTAAGCCATTCCTGTACATAGATTTGGTAGTGAAATAATGCAAAATTGGACCAAAACACTAGATAACAACTATTATGATATTTTTGGATTAGTGGAAGTAGTCATTGTCTAAGACAGTTGGTTTTTTATCCACGTGACTTCATAGTACCGACTTTGACATAAGGCTGTGAAAAGTTCCCCATTTGATCCATGGCTTTGCCAAACGAGATAACGCTTAGCGAACTTTGAGACATCTCTAAAACTTTCAAAATACACTACTTTATTGATATCTTTAAAGTTAAAATACTTCTATCCACTTGGGTCCGGTAGGTTAGCCATTACATGTGTCTTGTCATCTCCACATTAGATCATTTTGTTGATTAAATGTCCAAATCCTAACTGACATCACTAGCCTTTCTTGGACTCCCATTATCTTAAACTTAACTTTATTGAAGAAAATCAATGGTAATATCAGTCTATGATATGTATGAATAAAATGGATTACAAGACTGATCCCAACAATACAATAGGTCGCGCGCAAGACTCGTATCAAAAAAGGGGAAAAACTTATGGCACAAGCCTTATTTGCCCGGGTCACACCTTTTGTAGATTGGATTCAAAGTGAGATTGACTCCAACTAAACTAACTGCCCGATCATACAATAAAGTGTATAAGTTTCAATGTCTATTTTAAATAAAATAAGTTATAATTAGAAATTATAAAATAAAACGATTACTCATTTGAACAAATAATGATTATGAAATCATATTTAGTATTTAAAAATATTTACGAATTAGTAAAATAAAAGTAATATCTTAAAAATACATAATACTTTTGTTCCGTAAAGTGAATTACAGATATTACAGACAGTAATAAGACAATGAATTATCAATTTTTAAACTGAAAATAATTACGTAATATTTGTGAAATCCATGTTTTTAATTTATATTATTAAAATAGACATTTATAAATAATATATAATCAATGCTAAATTCTTCATACAGTATGACAAATATAATACAGTAGAAAGTCTAGGAAACTCAATATTAGTTAGAAACACTTAATTAATAAATGATTAAAATTTTATAACTTTAAATATAGTACTAACAAGCCAAATCTAAAAACAAAAGTTAATAAATAAAAATAAGAATATTAGTATAAATATGTTTAATGATCACTTATAAAGCTGTGTAATTCACAGATATAAAAGTGTATAAGAAATATATTATTTAATTTAGAAAATATCATTTATAATATTTGATTAATTTTTAAAAATATAACAATAAATGTTTAAGCAATATGTCAACTAAATATAAATTATTCTTAACATTTGTCATTTATTTCAGTTATTTATTTTATGTAAGAACCAATTTATATTTTGAAACTGTGTTTCTAAAATTAATTTTCTTTATTATTATTTTCATGAAAAAGACCATTAATAATGTTATAACCGGTCCAACACTCACGGCTTTGCAAACAATTTACCATGCTAGTTTTGTCCAAATATCTAATGTCAACACCATTTCTGGTTATACGTATGCGTTGGGAGCTCTGAGTAATTATACAATATTGATTAATTATCAATGATAATTATATTTGTAAAGCAATCTTAATCCAAATTAGTTATTATATTATAGTATTACTCAATTAACACATAATATTAAATGATTGTTAATAATTTTACTGAAATAGTTGGACCGATTTTTAATATGATGAACAAGCAGGTTGCTTACATGATATGTCTGATCATAATAGGCATAACCACTGCAATCTATACCTATGTCCATGAGTTGAATTACTTATATTTGGATTTTGCACTCAATATGTTTTTCTGCGGTGGCATTGATTCGGTGACTAATGTATGGTTAGTGGAGATGTGGACAGACAACTGCGGCCCAATCCTACAGGGATTGCAGTTTGTGTTGGGTGTGGGCTCTCTCATTACACCTCTCATTGCAAATCCTTTTATATCATCACAATCGGTAACAGTATATGTATATCTAAATACCACACCAAATGGCCTGAACATTGATGAATCACTTTCTACAACTGAGACAATGTTCAACTCAAGTGTTATCCAAATTCAAGAATACACTCAAAGTCGGATTAATATTCCCTATATATTCATTGGGGTTATTATAGCATTTTGTGGTCTATTTATTGGTTGCCTTAACCTATATAAACCATATATTCCTCGAAAGATTAAAACAAAAGAATTTATATTTACAGGAAATAAATTAACAGAAATATCGGTAAAGATTAACAACATATTTATAGCAGAGATGATGCCATCAAAATCAATATTAGTAGTAATAGTATTGTTCGCTAATATGATAGCATTTTCCAATGATATACTATTAAACTGGGACATGTATTGGACATCATTTGCATCACTATATGGTCTAAAACTAAATACTAGCTTGGCCAATAATATCTTCACTGTAATGCTTGCAATGTTGACCATAAGCCGGGCAATTTGCGTACCCCTTACAAAATATTTGAATCCGTTTCTAATGATGTTTTGTAGTTTTATTCTCTTAATAATAGCCCACATTTTATTTATAATATTTATGTCTAAGTCACTAACTGTTATATGGATTGCAAGTGTATTGGTCGGACTAGGATTGGGTCCCATGTATGCATTGGTATACCAGATGTTAGAATCGATAACCCCGGTCACAAACCTAATGGGATCACTATTTATATTCATAATCGGTGTATTTCAATGCTTAAGTTCAGTAGTGATCGGAAGATATATTGATTCATTGGTTTTTATTTATATAAATTTATTTTGTACAATTATATCTCTCATTTTATTTTTAATCATATATTTTATTGTTAAAAAGTATATTGTAATTACAAACACAGACGAAATGAATATTAATATACCAATGTAACTTGACTTATTGAAATAAATTTCAAAATTGTTAATAATTTATACGATAAGCGTATTTGAAATGTCATTATTTAATAAATACCATTTTATATTTAAAATAACATTTATAAATTTTGAAATAATTTTTTTGTCATAATAATTAAAAGTTAAAATTAGTGCTTCAATTATTAGGACTAGTAAAAATATTTAATAAAAATAAACATATTTTATATTTCGAGCTGGGTATTTTAATGTTTAGTTCAATCGCTAATATAATACAGTATACTGAATTTGAAACAATCAACTGAAACAATTGAACATTGAGTAAAATTACTGGTACTGTATTGTCTGTTTAACACTTTCCTTCGGTGCATATAATACAATGAATTATCATTTCTATAAAATAAAACAAATTAAAAATATTGTGATTTTTTAATGTTTTAAACTACATTATTTCAGTATAAGCAAACAATTAGCTATACAAGTTATATAATATAACTGTAATTAAAACTTTACTAAGCCAAATTCTGCTATGGTAGCCACCTCAAAGTACTGGCAGATTTGATATAATATATCAGATATATAGTTTATTGTGTTTAAAATTAAACTGATTAAACTATATTTCATTTAATTCTGATCATAGCTATACTGCATACACTGTTAAATAATAAAATCTTTATTAATAAAATATCTTCAAAATAATTTCAAAACAATTACTGTATTTTGAAATTACTAAACCGATTACTCATTTAACGTAACCGATTGCATATGATGTAATAAATAGAATATTCCGGATTTGAAAAGTTTAAAAATAAACTAAGTGTATAACACGGTAATAAGTGTATTTCATCTCATACTAAATTGAATTATCATTTTAATTGAAATAATTTCTAAATATAGTATTTAAGAAAATTTTGTTTTTATTTGTATTATTAAAATATTAGCAAATGCCCGTAATATCAAACATTAAGTACTAAAATATAAGGGCTTTAATTTTTACTTATAATATATTTATTATTAATTGAAAGTTTGCTACGTAATTGGCTATCATAAACTAGTTAGCGTTTGTTTACAAGTAGTTGAAATAATATAATGATTATATTGTTTTAATATAACTTTTAAATCTACGCACAAAAATTAGTATAAAAACGTAACAATACTTAAATTAACCTTTAAAAGCAAGAATATTAAAATAAATATGTTTCTGTATTTGATAATTATGCTTATAAAATTTTGTAATTCACTGATAAACAGTAAAAGAGTATAAATTATATAAATAATCGTTTAATAATGTTTTATTTATAAGTATAACTAGATCTTACATGTGTATAAATATTTGTGTAATTCGGGGATAATTCTTGCTGTTAAAAGTGTATTTAATAAATTGTTAAACATATTATATTATAATAGTAATCAAAATTTTGATAATTAAAACCTAAACATTATGTCTACTAAATATAAATTGTTTTTAACATTTGTCATTTATTTTAGTTATTTAATTTATGTAAGAAACAAATATTGGAATTTGTGTTTGTTCAAAATTATTTAAATTTAATTTATTTTATATTAAAATGGCCAAGACAATTCAAAATACAATAACTGGTCCATGTCTTCCGGATTTGCAAACCCTTTATAACACAAGTTTCGACCAAATATCGTACGTCAACACTGTTTCCGGTTATTCATATACTTTAGGAGCTCTCAGTAAATGACTGTTTATTTCAATTTTATATTCTTTAATTATGCAATATTTATATTACGATAAAAATATAATAGTAATTTACATAACTAACATGCTAATATTAAATGTGTTTTACTAATTTTTGTGAACTAGTTGGAGCGCTGTGTAGTAATGTTAACAAACAGATTGCTTATATGATGTGTCTGATCATAATAGGCATAACCACTTCACTCTATACGTATGCCAAGAAGTTGACCTTGTTAAATTTAGTGTTTGCAGTTAATAGCCTATTCTGCGGTGGAGTCGATTCCTTTATTAACGTATGGATAGTTGAGATGTGGGGACAGAATTGCGGGCCATTCGTACAGGGATTGCAGTTTGTGTTGGGTGTGGGCTCTCTTATTACACCTTTTATTGTAACTCCCTTTCTATCACAATCGGTAACAGTATATGAGTATTCAAATACCACACCAAATGCCTTGAACATTGATGAAACACTTTATACAACTGAGACAATGTTCAACTCAAGTGTTATCCAAATTCAAGAATTCACTAAAATTCGGATTAATATTCCCTTTATATTCTTTGGAGTTATTATAGTATTTTGTGGTCTATTTATTGGTTGCCTTAATCTATATAAACCATATATTCCCCGACAGATTAAAACAAAAGAATTGATATTTACAGGAAATAAATTAACAGAAATATCGATAAAGATTAACAACATATTTATAGCAGAGATGATGCCATCAAAATCAATATTAGTAGTAATAGTATTGTTCGCTAATATGATAGCATTTTCCAATGATATACTATTAAACTGGGTCAATTATTGGACATCATTTGCATCACTATATGGTCTAAAACTAACTGATAGATTATCTAATTATATCCTCGCTGTAATGCTTACAATGTTGACCATAAGCCGGGCAATTTGCGTACCACTTTCAAAATATTTGAATCCATTTCTAATTATGTTTTGTAGTTTTATTCTCTTAATAATAGCCCACATTTTATTTATTATATTTATGTCTAAGTCATTAACTGTTATATGGATTGCAAGTGTATTGGTAGGACTGGGATTGGGTCCCATGTATGCATTGGTATACCAGATGTTAGAATCGATAACCCCGGTCACAAACCTAATGGGATCACTATTTATATTCATAATCGGTGTATTTCAATGTCTAAGTTCAGTAGTGATCGGAAGATATATCGATTCATTGGTTTTTATTTATATAAATTTCTTTTGTACAATTATATCTCTCATTTTATTTTTAATCATATATTTTATTGTTAAAAAGTATATTGTAATTACAAACACACACGAAATGAATATTAATATACCAATGTAACTTGACTTATTGAAATAAATTTCAAAATTGCTAATAATTTATACGATAAGCGTATTTGAAATGTTATTATTTAATAAATACCATTTTATATTTAAAATAACATATTTATAGATTTTGAAATAATTATTTTGTTATAATAAATTAAAAGCTAAAATTAGTGCTTCAATTATTAGGACTAGTGAAAACATTTAATAAAAATAAACATATTTTATATTTCGAGCTGGGTATTTTAATGTTTAGTTCAATCGCTAATATAATACAGTATACTGAATTTGAACCAATCAACTGAAACAATTGAACATTGAGTAAAATTACTGGTATTGTCTGTTTAACACTTTTCTTCGGTGCATATAATACAATAAATTATCATTTTTATAAAATAAAAAAAATTAAAAATATTGTGATTTTTTAAGTTTTAAACTACAGTATTTCAGTATAAGCACACAATTAGCTATACAAGTTATATAATATAGCTGTAATTAAAACTGTACTGAGCTAAATTCTGCTCTGGTAGACCACCTCAAAGTACTGGCAGTTTTGATATATGATACTAATTTAGAGTGCAGTCAATAGGACTCATACAGTGAGATCACTTGACAAACTAGACAGGCTGTAGTTTATTGTGTTTAAAATTAAACTGATTTTTAACTACATTTCATTTAATTCTGATCATAGCTATACTGCATACACTGTTAAATAATAAAATTTTTATTAATAAAATATCTTCAAAATAATTTAAAAATAATTACTGTATTTTGAAATTACTAAACCGATTACTCATTTAACGTAACCGATTACATATGATGTAATAAATAGAATATTCCGGATTTGAAAAGGCTTCAAAATAAACTAAATAATTTATATATATAACCAATAGATAATAAGTGTATTTCATCTCATACTAAATTGAATGATCATTTCGTGAAAATTGAAATAATTTCTAAATATAGTATTTAAGAAAATTTTGTTTTTATTTGTATTATTAAAATATTAATATTAATTTATTAGCAAATGCCGTAATATCAAACATTAAGTACTAAAATATAAGGGCTTTAATTTTTACTAATAATATATTTATTATTAATTGAAGGTTTGCTGCGTAATTGGCTATCATAAACTAGTTAGATTTTGTTTACAAGTGGTTGAAATAATATAATGATTATATTGTTTTAATATAACTTTTAAGTATAGACACAAAAAATTAGTAGAAAAACTTAACAATACTTAAATTAACCTTTAAAACAAGAATATTAACATAAATATGTTTCTATATTTGATAATTATGCTTATAAAATTTTGTAATTCACTGATAAACAATAAAACAATATAAATTATATAAATAATGGTTTAATAATGTTTTATTTATTAGTATACCTTGATATTACGTGTGTATAAATATTTGTGTAATTCGCGGATAATTCTTGCTATTAAAAGTGTATTTAATAACTTGTTAAACATATTATATTATAATAGTAATAAAAATTTTGATAATAAAAACCTAAGCATTATGTCTACTAAATATAAATTGTTTTTAACATTTGTCATTTATTTTAGTTATTTAATATATGTAAGAAACAAATATTGGAATTTGTGTTTGTTCAAAATTATTTAAAATTAATTAATTTTTTATTATAATGACCAAGACAATTCAAAATACAATAACTGGTCCATGTCTTCCGGATTTGCAAACCCTTTATAACACCAGTTTCGATCAAATAGCGTACGTCAACACTGTTTCCGGTTATTCGTATACTTTAGGAGCTCTCAGTAAATGACTGTTTATTTCAATTTTATATTCTTTAATTATGCAATATTTATATTACGATAAAAATATAATCATAATTTACATAACTAGCATGCTGATATTAAATGTGTTTTACTAATTTTTGTGAACAGTTGGAGCGCTGTGTAGTAATGTTAACAAGCAGATTGCTTATATGATGTGTCTGATGATAATAGGCATAACCACTTCACTCTATACATATGCCAAGACGTTGTCCTTGTTAAATTTAGTGTTTGCAGTTAATAGCCTATTCTGTGGTGGAATCGATTCCTTTATTAACGTATGGATAGTGGAGATGTGGGGACAGAATTGCGGGCCATTCGTACAGGGATTGCAGTTTGTGTTGGGTGTGGGCTCTCTAACCACACCAGTCATTGTAAATCCATTTCTGTCACAACCGGTCACAGTATATGAGTATCTAAATACCACATCAAACCAAACACTGCCGACAAATGGTATGATATTCAATTCAAGTGTTGTGGCCATTCAAGAATACACTAAAACAAGGATTAATATTCCTAATATATTCATTGGGGCCAGTATATCATTTACCGGTCTATGTATAGGATGCCTTAACATATATAGACCATATATTCCTCGAGAAATTAAGGCTAAAGAAGTTAAATTAAAGGAAAATAATCCGACACAATTATTTAAACAAATTAATCCGACACAATTATTTAAACAAATTAACAACATGTTTATAACAGAAATGATGCCAACTAGACCAATATACATAGTCATAGGATTGTCGGCGTATATGATTGCATTGGCTAATGATATACTGCTAAACTGGAATAACTACTGGACATCATTTGCTGGTAGCTATGGTCTCGAACTAGATAACAATTTGGCCAATGACATTCTCACTGCAATGCTCGCAGTAATGACCTTAAGCCGGGCCATGTGTATACCGATATCAAACTTTTTCAGTCCATTTATAATTATATTTTGTAGTTTTAGTTTGTTAATAGTTTCCCATGTTTTATTTGTAATATTTATTGCAAAATCCGAAGTTATTATATGGATTGCAAGCGTATTGCTTGGACTAGGACTGGGACCCATGTATGCATCGATATACCAGATGGTAGAGTCGATAACACCGGTGACAAACATAATGGGATCACTATTTATATTTACCATTGGTCTTTCACAATGCATAAGCGCAGTAATCATTGGAAAGTATATTACTTCAATGGTTTTTATGTATATAAATATCTTTTGTGTTATTGTAGCTCTCATTTTATTTTTGATCATTTATTTCATTACCAAAAAGTACATAATAATTACAAATACAGATGACATGAATGTTAATGTAAGACTGTAAGTTATATGTCTGAAATGAGTATCATGCATGTATAAATAAATATAAATATAAATGAATGTAAATATATTAAAAATGGATAATTAAGTTGTCAAAACTTACATTTATTTATTTGAAATAAAATCACATTTTGATAGATTTGAAAAATTAAATCTAAAACAATAATACACAGATGTAATAGATTAATGTTTTATTTGTAATATTTATTGCAAAATCCGAAGTTATTATATGGATTGCAAGCGTATTGCTTGGACTAGGACTGGGACCCATGTATGCATCGATATACCAGATGGTAGAGTCGATAACACCGGTCACAAACATGATGGGATCACTATTTATATTTACCATTGGTCTTTCACAATGCATAAGCGCAGTAATCATTGGAAAGTATATTAATTCAATGGTTTTTATGTATATAAATATTTTTTGTGTTATTGTAGCTCTCATTTTATTTTTGATCATTTATTTCATTACCAAAAAGTACATAATAATTACAAATACAGACGACATGAATGTTAATGTAAGACTGTAAGTTATATCATATATATGACTATATATATATAACTTATATGTATGAAATGAGTATCATGTATTTATCAATAAATATAAATATAAATAAATGTAAATATATTAAAAATGGATAATTAAGTTGTCAAAACTTACATTTATTTATTTGAAATAAAATCACATTTTGATAGATTTGAAAAATTAAATCTAAAACAATAATACACAGATGTAATAGATTCTTTGTAAATAAAAGTCATATGTAACTGTACTCGATGAATTAACACATTATTTTGACGCTTAAAACATTATTTATAAAAAATGAATAACACAATGAATTGACAATAAGTGTGAACTTACAAAAGGTACAATACTTGAATCTATATTAAATTATTTACATTAAATTATTATAAATAAACAGAAAATTTAATTTTATGCACATATATTTTTCTAATTAAGTTTATAACAGTTAATGTCAAATATTATTTATTTTATTTTTATATAAAATACAAAGCATTAAAACTTGTAAAAAGTTATAATCCATATAAGAACTGTATTTTCTAGTGTTTCTATAATAAACATAACAATTAATTTTTCAATTTTAAATAAGCATATAATATTTATGCAAAAATGGCCAAGGCAACACAAATATCAACAAAATATAAATACTTTCTAACTTTTGTTATTTATTTTTGTTATTTATTTTATGTAAGAGAAATTTATCTAAAATTTAATTAAATGAATAATTTGTTGTATAATTTGATTGGTGAAGACAATACAAAACTATATCGTCGGCCCAGCGTTTGAGGACTTGCAGGCCTTATATGGCGTGCCTTTTGAAGAAATATCAAACGTGTGGATCATTGCCGGCACTTTCTATACCGTTGGATCCCTAAGTATTTCCATTCAATTTATTAATATGTACCACAATTTACTGTCAATTATTTAACCTAAAAATAAGGCAATTTTTCCAATTATTCTTTACTAAATATTTAGCGTATAAAATAACAATGGAGGTTTACTAACAAACTAATTTAATATTAAATAAGTTGGTATTAACTTATTGTTTAACAGCCGGACCAATCTTCAACATGATGA